CACACACACACACACACACACACACACACACACACACACACACACACGGCTCTCTCATCTGGTATTCAGGGACAGTTGTTGGCTGGGAACTCTCTTGCCCCCTCTGCTGGTCACATGGATACATGCAGTATAGGGTCCTGGGAACTTGCAGGAAGTCACGGTGCAGCCCCCTCCCGCTGCCTCACCATCTCTCATTTCTCCTGCAGTGCCACAGTGACAGCTGTCAGGACAGTCAACAGAGCCCAGACATCAGTTCTGCAACCCTTGGAATGGCGGTCAGCTTTCTAGAATGATCATGATGATAAAATACTATTACTCAAATTATCATGTGTCCATCCTTCCAGAATCTGCAGTTCTTGTCTGCTTGTGGGTGAGGTTAGTCACTCTGGGGTACGGGATGGCCACCACAAGGCAGCTTTAAAGATCAGATACCACTGATTGCCATCTTGGAAGATGGCATTTCCCGAGGGAACTGCTTTGCCATGGCATTTACAGTAGTCAAAGTAGTCATGCCCCATGGCCTGAACTCTTTTGAACATTACCAGAAGGAAGGGATCAGGCTGGTCACCACCCCTAACGGACAGAACATCCAAGCTGATCAAGACAGGCTTGGGAACACCTGCCATCTTAGCTATCTGGAAGGCCAGAGTCATCTTGGGCAATTAAATAACACCCTGCATTAAAATAAAAATAAAGAGAAGAGAGGACTTGGGGGCAGGGCTCAGCAGTAGAGCCCTACATAGAATCCTCCAGTCAGGGACTAGGGGATGGTTCACTGGTGGACTGCTTCCTTAGAATGTGGGAGGCTCTGTACTTCACCTCCACCCGATGGGAAAAGCCTTGGGGAAAATGGGTACTGGGGCACCAAGGGCACAACGGCACACAGCGTGCTAGAGGAAGACCTAGAGGCAGCCTGTTGCCTTGGTGATAGTGGCATTAAAGAGCCAGGACCTAGGTATTCGTTCTTAAGAGCCTGACATTTATTAACTTCAAAATTTCATCTGTCTGGCTCTGAGCTGAGCTGTCTTCATCTCCGGTCCTTTGCCAATCTGGTGTGAATCAGAGTCCCCAGAGTTCTGAGAGCTGCGGGTCCAGTCTGACCTCTGTGTCTTGCAGCTAAGGAGAAGAGCATCCATCTAAGAGCTGGACCAGCACAGGGGTCTGAGGTTGGGATAGGCAGGTCTGTGGATGTCTTGGGAAGAGGCCTCACCTTCCAGAACTGGCCTCTCCTGTTCCCCTTTCAGGGAACTGGGCTTGTGTGGCCAGGCTAAGCCCACCCCTTCAATGAGTAGGCCTCCCTCCTTAGCCCCCACTTGGTGTCAAGAGGAGGCTGGGGGAGGGTTGTGTGTCCTTTCTTAGGAGCCTACAGGCAGATGGGCTAGGAATACCAGCCACACAGTTCCCACTCTGCTGCCAGACCTTGTCGCCTTCTCCTTAGAACCCCTAAGAAGCCGGAAGATCCCTTTCTTCAGGCCCAGGGATCCAGGCCTACTTCTTCTCCCTCAGATCCAAGAGTACAGGCCTCAGCCCTCTTCCCTCAACCCATGCATCCAGGATCCAGCCTTCCTCCCTCCAACCCAAGGGTTCAGGCCCCAGCAGGCCTACCTGGTCCCTCTCCATCCTTCCTGGCCCAACATCCCCGGGCTCGTGGCCCCACTCTCACCTCCGGGGGCCGCTGTCCCTCCTCGCCCTCCTCCTCCTCCTCCTTTTCCTCCTCCTCCTCGTCCTCCTCAGGCACGGTGTCCTCGTGCGTGAAGGGCACGGCGCAGGCGGGCGAGTGGTAGCGCAGACGGTAGAGCAAACGCACCCAGCGACCGAACTCGCGGTCACGGGTCTCCGCTGGTGCGCGCAGCTGCAGGTAGAAGGCACGACCCGTGCGGAACTTGACCTTGAGCTGCTGGCGGCTCTCGTCGTGCACAAACAGCTGCACGAATTGCAAGGGGAACAGCCTGACGGGGGAGGGGCGGCTCAGTTGCGGCCTCTTGCACACCTCCTTGTGTTTCTAGCTTTGTCGCGATCCTTCGGGGACTCCCACTTCTGGATGGCCTTGGAATGCCTAAGGTGGCTCTCTCTCTCTCTCTCTCTCTCTCTCTCTCTCTCTCTCTCTCTCTCGCATCCTGGTCCTGTCCTACTGCCAAATCCTCGCAGCTGCACCTTCACCTGAGTCCCATCAGGCCACCAGAGGGCCATATTTAGCATCTTAGTTTGACCCAACCAAAGTCAAGGCTGGGTCCTCCCTGGGGACCGGAAGTGCCTGCTTGGGGTATAGTTTCGATCACCCCATGTTCTCCATCTATGCTGTTTCTTCCCCGGTGCCTACAACGTGAGCTCCTTGAATTCTGACCTCTGACCTGATTTTGCCCGGTCCTGTTTTTCCTAATATGGTGAACCGCTGAAAGAATGCTTGTCGAGTATTTGAATAAACAAATTGCTCAGGTTTTCAGCTAGATTTAAGGTCCAAAGAAAAGGAAGCTACCATACCAAGAGACTGAGTAATGTGGCCCAGGCCACGCAGCAGTGGGTGGAAATACGGTTGTGAGCTAGCGGTGGGCCACCACATCCCCTCTAGGACCTGTTGAGTCCAACCTCCTCCTTTCTATGCACACAAGTACACATAACACATTCTCCTGTTACATGGTGAACCCAAGTCACGGAACTTCAGTGGACAATGGATGTCCCCTAAATGTCACAGCAGTTGATGACATTTACACATTGCTCACACTGTGCCAGGTGCTTCATGAAACACAAACAGGAAGGACTGTCCTGTCGTGCACTGCCCCTCCCCCCCCCCATGTTCCAGATGAGGAGACAGAGGCACAGCACAGAGGAGACAATGAGGTTTGATCCCAAGCTCTGGGATTAATGACTTATTCAAGAAAACCCAGCCACAGGGACAAGTTGGACAAGTCCAGTTGGCTCAGTCTGGATCCAGGAGTAGCCTGGAGTAGGGGTGGGGCTAATTGCCAACAGGGTTTTGTTTTGTTTTGTTGATGTGGAAGCTATCAGTAGTCCAGGTTGGTGTGGAACTGACTGTACTAACCACCCAGGCCCTGAACATTTGATCCTCCTCCCTCCACCTCCTGAGGGTTGGGATTACCGACAGTCTCGCACACTTTGTTGGCAGCAAGCAGGTGACCCCAAGCTTGCATCTAATATTCAAACACTGTTGTTGGAAACTGCAGTTTACCAGGGCAGAAAACGGCTTTGAGTAATATTCTCCACTGGGTAAGGAGATAATTGGGAGAAGTCAGGCACATTTTCTCCCCTTCTGCCTTTTTTTTTTGAGAGAAGGTCTCATCTGGCCCTGGCTGACTGGAACTTGTAGACCAGGTTGGCCTTAAACTCAGAGACCCACCTGCCTCTACCTCCTGAGTGCTGGGATTAAAGGTGTGTGCCACTATGCCCAGCTGGTGCCAGGCTCTTTATACGGCTGTTAGGGATTCAAACTCGGATCTTCATGCTTGTCCTGAAAATACTTTACTGAACCCCTAGTGGTCCCTTTTTACTTTTTTGAGACATAGGTATCACTAAGTTATCCAGGCTGGCCTAGAAGTCACTCTTATATCTCAAGCTGGTCTTGAACTTGTGCCTCAGCCTCCCAAGTAGTTGGGATATCAGGCTTGTACCATTAGGCATGGCCTTTTTCTGTTTCCTCGCTGTCTTTCACGAACTGAGATATGATGGGAGAGGATGCAGGTCCCACAAGAATACCAGAGTGTGCACATGTACTCCAAGCATGGAAATGTTTGTGGCTCAAGCAGGGCAGGGTCTAGGCTGGGAAAAGGGATGTTCTAAGTGTGAGGTTTGTACTTGGTGGTGCTTGATTTCCGCATGTGAAGTTTTCAGTGAGAGGAGCAGAGCGTAGCAGTGGACTTGAACGCAATACTTGGAGACCAGGATTGTGAGGGCCTCGGGTTCTAGTCCCAGCTTCTGGTCTGCTCTGTGGGACCCTGGGCCATAGGCCTGGGCTCTGATCCTGACTTTATCTCTTGGGGACTGAGGAGCACCTGGGAAGCTGAAAGCATTGTAATAAACTGTCACCATCCTGACCCTGTGTTGTCATCGAGGACCTCCCTCCTCTCGCCTAACTTCTGACCTTTGTGAACTTCCCTGTCATCTTTCTGAGTAGACAGGCCTGGCAAGTATTGGTACTCTTGGTCCCCCAAACCTGGATAGCAGAATGGTGGCTGTAAGGTGGGAGGAGGCTGGGACCGGGAAGGGCAGTCACCCGAGGAGCTGTAGGTGTCCATTCTCCTTGTCAGGGCCAGCCAACAGCAGCAGGTCTGGCAGCTCCAGGGCTGGACTAGAGGCTGCCACCCCCATGGTGACCTTGTTGGCGACTTCTCCAAACCGGGTCACCTGGGGCCAGAGGTTAGAGGATGGAAGACGGAGAACAGAACTAAACAAGGATTTGGGGGGTGCTGGAAATCTTGACAGGGTCAAGAACTAGGGGAGTTGAAAGCAGGTCAGGGGCTGGGGATGTGGCTCAGTATATAGCACCTGCCTAGAATCCCCTAGTACGGGACTGTGGGTGAAGCGAAGTGGTAGAGCTCCTGCCTAACGTGAGCGAGGCCCTGGGTACCATCCACAGCACCACAGGAGAAAAACGAAGGGTGTGGACCAAATATTTTAGGATTAAAGGATAAGAACCACATGTGTGTACAGTCAATGAAACTGAGACAAAGGCTTCTGAAGCCACTAACAAGCCAAAAGATTGGCGATATGAGGTGAGAGGGTTCAGGGGTTATGTGGAACACTTGGGAGATCGACAAGGCGAAGGATCATGGGGGGCAGTCACAGTTCGCAGAGCAGGGGCTCCGTAAACAAATGGGCGGAGGTCCGGGGCTCCACACCTGCACGAAGTTGCTCTCAAAGATGGGGAAGTCGCGCAGCTGGTCGAACTCGCCGCTCAGGAGGTGTCGCTGGAGGCGCCCAGGGCGGCACGGGGCGTAAGCTGGAACCAGGGGGCGGTCGGCAGCGGGGAAAAGCTGGCATCCACCCCAGAAGGACAGGTACGAGTCCCCCGGCAGGGGGCGCACGCGAGGCAGTGGCCTCCGCATTGCAGGCCCCATGCTTCCCGAGCTCCCTCACCAGGGCCAAACCCTCCCGGCCCGGCTCCTCCCCTCCCCTGCCTTCCATCTGACCCGGCCTCACCAGGTCCGCCGGGGACCGGCTTGGGTTTGCGCCCGCCCTTCATCGCCACGCCCCGGCCCTGGGTGGGGACGCGGGGTGGAGTCAAGGCCAGAAAGGTAAGGGGCGGGGTCTAGCGCCTATGCTCTCACAATGAGCACCTAGCGTTCCGTGGCGTCACGAACGTGGCCTCTCCTAGGAAGTGGGGCCCGGAGGGGTGAGCCCTAGAGGCCCGGATGAAGAAATGGCCGCTCTAAGAGGAGGCAGAGGAAAGAGTGCTAGTGCGCATGGGCGGCACGCGGCGCAGGCGCATGAGCCTCAGGATGCACTCCGGTTCCCAGCGTGCTTTACGGCGCTCGGCTCTTCTCAGATCCTCGTTATGGTGACCGCGGGTGCTGGGGCTGCCCGGCTGCTTGTGCTTTTGCTGGTAGCCGCCGCGGCTCCAAGTAGGGCCCGAGGCAGCGGCTGCCGGGTCGGGTCCGCCGCACGCGGGGTGAGTGCTGGCAGCAGGGGCGGGGCGGCCTCCTGCAGGCTCTAGATGGACTCGCATCGTGAATATTCATGAGAGGATGCGGTCTGTTTGTAACCGAAGCTGACTAAGAACTTGGCTTGACATAGTTGTGCACACCTTTCATCCCAGTGCTCAGGAGACTGAGACTGGAGGATCAAGGAAGGAGTTTGAGGCCAGCTTGGGCTGCATGACATTGTCTCAAAAATACAAAAAAGTGGGTGTGATGGTGCACGCTTTCAATTGCAGTATTCGGGAGGCAGAGACAGGTGAGTTCGAGGCCAGCCAGGGCTACATAGTGAGACCCTGACTCAATAAATAATATAGATATAGCGCTAGTCCCTGAGCGCTAGGGATGGAATCCTATTTCTGAGTATGCACGAGGAAGCCAGGTCCTACAGGAGCCATTGAGTAGGAGAAGCTTGAAATTAAGACGTAAAAGGCTTTGGTTGGCGTGGGGGTTCTGACATTGTAGGAGTTCAGGGTCAGCCTGGGCTTCCTAAGACCCTGTTTAAAAAAAAAAAAACTTAAAGAAAAACCCCCTAAAACAAAAAACGGTGCTGGCCGCTCTTCCTGAGTACCTGGGTTAGATTCCTAGCACCCACCTGGCTGCTCACAACTGTCTATAACTCCAGTTCCCGAGGATCATACGCCCTCTTCTGGCCTGCCAGGCATGTACATGTAGCAAACACCCATACACAAAATTCAAAATCAAACCAAAAAATGAAGCTGCTGGCGGTGACAATTAATCTGTAACTCCAGCACTCAGCAGACTGAGGCAGGAGGATCGTCTTGCGTCTAGATCAGCCTGGGAGTGGTTTAGTGAGACTGTTACAGAACATGAAAAGAAAAGTGTAGGATCAAGGATGTACTGAAGAGGGGGTGGAATTCTTGGCAGTGAATGGTCAGGGTATTAACATCTATGCAGAGGAAGCCAGTGCCTGTGAGCTCAGGAAGGAAAAGCTCAACCTGGAGAGCAGAGCCTGGTGGTGCGGCCTGTAATACCATCTCTAGGCCCTGGAGGCAGAAGGAATGAGTTGGAGACTAGCTTGGGCAATGCAGCGAGCCTGTCTCAAAATAAACACAAAAGCCAAAAAAGTTTAAAACCCCTAGCCAAACAAACAAGCAAACAAAAGATAACGGCCTGGGTCTTGGACACGAGAGTAACATTTCAACGTGTTTATAGGGTTTTCTTTTGAGCTGTGAAAATCTCAGAATATTCACCTGAAAATGGATGTGAACAGGCCTTCAATCTGCCATTCTGTCCTATGGCCAGTTGATTCTGCCCTGCCCAGAATTTGAGTTGGGCTCCTGTTTCTCCTACAGGCTGGGACTGATGGTCGTGAAGGTGAGGGCTGTGGTACTGTGGGATTGCTGCTGGAGCATTCATTTGAGATTGGTGAGTTCAGTGTGTTTTGAACCGTATACATATCCAGTGGGACCTAACAGCCTGTCTGTTGGAGAGAGGGTGGAGACAACCGATAGGTGAAGAGAAGCTATTTTTAGATGGCCATACCTGGCTTCAAGGGTTCAAGGATTGAGTGCTTGCCCGGCATGTCCAAGGGCCTGGGTTACATTTCTTTTTTTCTTTTTCTTTTTCTTTTTTTTTTTTAAAAAAAAGACTATTTATTTATTTTGTATACAAGGTTCTGCCTGGGTGTGTGTCTATACACCAGAAGAGGGCACCAGATCTCATTATAGATGGTTGTGAGCCACCATGTGGTTGCTGGGAATTGAACTAGGGACCTCTGAAAGAGCAGCCAGTGCTCTTAACCTCTGAGCCATCTCTCCACCCCCCCTTGGGTTACATTTCTATTAATGGAAATTACACACACATATACACCACACATATGCATGCACATGTGTATACATGGGTGTAGGTACATGTGTATGTGTACATGTGCATAAATGTACATGTGTGATGGCTAAAGAAACTGCGTTTTAAGCCAGGCATCTATCTTGATACCCACTAACTGTTCCCGACACCTGGATGTTCTCAGCCTGACTCAGTGACCCCCACCCAAAAATGTATAGCTGTGATCATCTTCTTGTTATCATATGGCTAATTGTTTTTTGCCTTCTGTAACTTGCTTACACAGATACTCAAAGGTTGTTTTGGGTTGCCTTTACCACGTGGCAGAACAGGCCCATATTGACCTGCTTGCATAGATATTGAAGGTCTTCTTGTGGATTTTGCTGTTAACAGCCGTTCCCCATACTTCTCCTTCATGACATTCCTGAGATTCAGCTTTAAGGCTATCGTTCTCCTAGCCGCTAATCAGTGAGCCTTTTAGTTGTAATTGGATTGAGTCTCTGATCTCTTCCCAGGGTCACAAACTCCATAGCACATGCACGTCTCTTTTCTGCCTTCCACATTAAAATTTTATTTTCTCTCACTGTTCCAGTTCCAGCCCTTCCCAGTAGGGACTTTAGACAGCTGTTCACGTCACACCCACAGGCCAGAGCAGAGAGGATGAATGCACACTTGCTCATTTGTGCTCAGCTCCCTCTGTACACTTAACACAGTTCACGATAAAAACCCAGGGACCAGTCTTGCCTGCAGTGGGTGGGCCTTCCTGCTTCAATGAATGCAATCAAGACATTCGCCCACAGATGACACCCACGACCCAGCCTGACCTAGACAGTCCCTTGTGATTCTAGATTGTGTCTGGTTACAATAGAAAGTAGCCATCAGGGCCTCTGACTACTCGTGCTTGTGTCCAGCTCTCAGACCTTGACAGCATCGCCCTTATAAAAAAGTTGCTTTGCGCTAATAAAACTGTCTTTTGCAGAAATTAAATACAAGTTAACATCACATGTACACATCTGGGTGTATACATACATACATATGCACACACAGTATGTTATGAGTGCGTGTTTGTTATGTGTGTATATATGTAACATATATAAAATTTCCTTCTTGCCCCCGACCTGTAGGAACAACCCCAGACCCAGTCAACTGAAGGAGGAATGTCAGAGCAGACTTCTCTAACCTTGACTTGTGTCCTGCCTTTGCTCCTAGTCTTGTGAGGCAGAGGGTCTGAGCATTGGCCCGTTTTACAGCAAAGGAAACAGGTCTGGGGCAGCACCACAGGGTCCCCTCTTTCAGGGAAGGCAGAACTGTACTAGCCTCAATATCTGCCTGACTAAAGGGTCTGTGACCAGTCGGCTCAGAGCTTGCTCTTTACTGTGCCTACGGCTCCTTAATGGAGTCAGGCACTTGTGAGAGTCAGGCCCCAGTTGACCAGAGAGTTCTTGTAACCACCCCAGAGTCGTTAGAAGGCAGTGCAGGCCATGGGGGCCTCAGGCTGGGCTGCCCTGTGTAGCAGTGCAGTGCCCGACAGCAGACAAGTGCGGAAAGAAGCTGCCGTCACTGAGGTGGGGCAGGTCACACTTGAGGGAATTGGTACTGAGCCCATTTCCTCACAGGTGATGGAGCCAACTTCCAGAAGCGTGGCTCATTGCTCTGGAACCAGCAGGACGGTACCTTGTCGGCAACACAGCGGCAGCTCAGTGAGGAGGAGCGGGGCCGGCTCCGGGTGAGGTTGGGGCCCCAGGGTTGGCTGCCTGCAGCTGAAAGGGCTTGATGCCTAACTCAGCCACCTCTCCCTATGGGTACCTTCTTGCCGCCCCAAGAAAGAGCCCAGGACAAGAGGCTCCTTTCAAGTTTCAGCCTTGTGTGGGCTGGGCTCTGTCCTTGTTCCCACTGAAAGCTGACAAGTTGTGTTTGCCCAGCATGAGGGAGGCAGGGGAACTTGCTTTGTTGTAGTGGCCATGTGCCTCGGTGCCTTCTGTGTGCAGGAAGGCAGCGAGAGGCCTCCCCACCTGGTCTCCTCCATGTGATTCTCTGTCCTAGCCACTCCCACAGGCAACCGTTTGTGTAGCTGGGTTTAGGTGTGTGTGGTGGAGGATCACGTGTGCCTGGATCCAGTCTTCATAGTGCTTGGATGCTCACGTTAGCTGACGTGGCAATGATGTCTCGGGTGACTTCTCCACCGGGGAGTATGCGTGTGTGGGAAGCCCCGCTTGTCAGCCAGGGTGTGTGGCGTGCTATGAGAGCAAGACTGGGGAAGCATCCTCTTGACCAGCCTGCTGGGCTGACACTGGCCCCTCATGGGTCTCTGCATACCCTGCAGGATGTGGCTGCCGTCAATGGCCTCTACAGGGTCCGGGTCCCCAGGCGGCCTGGGGTACTTGATGGTTCAGAAGCTGGCGGCTATGTGTCTTCCTTTGTCCCAGCGGTAAGTCACTGATGAGGACTGCCTGTATCTCCTTCCTGCCTGCTCAGTGTCCCCACCCTTCATGGAGCCCCTCACTGTGAGGCCCTGAGAAACTTTAGAGTGTGAATTCCTGTAGTCAGTGTTGGTCCGAAGGACCTGGGCTTGGGGGTGGGGGCTCTCCTGTGCATCTGTGGGGCAGTGCAGCCGAGCTGGGCAGCTCTCTCTGACCGTTCCCACCCTCCCCATCTTCCGTAGTGCTCCCTGGTGGAGTCTCACCTCTCAGACCAGCTGACCTTGCATGTGGATGTGGCTGGCAACGTGGTAGGACTGTCAGTGGTTGCTCACCCTGGGGGCTGCCGGGGCTCTGAGGTGGAGGACGAGGACCTGGAGCTGTTCAACACGTCTGTGCAGCTGCGGCCTCCCGGCACCGCGCCAGGGTGAGTGCTGGGGGAGCCAGGGCCACCAGCTGCCTCAGGCACCCTGGTACTGGGGCTCTAGCCCTTACCTTGCCCCTTTCCCCCCCTCCCGTGTTCAGCCCTGAGACTGCGGCCTTCATTGAGCGCTTGGAGATGGAGCAGGCCCAGAAGGCCAAGAACCCTCAGGAGCAGAAGTCCTTCTTTGCCAAATACGTGAGTGCGGCTCCTTCCACATCTCCCTACCCCCAGCAGATGATTTGTGTGTGTTCCTCTGGTGGGAGGCTGAGGGCTGTGGACCCCACCTGAGTTGTCAAGGGCTGAGTGGCTCTCGAGGCCTCATAGTCTGGACTGGGCTGGGGATTTGCAGGCACAGGCACCCAAGCTTGTTGGGAGCAGAGCGGTGTGGAAGGTAGCTGGGTGTGGACAGACAAGCTGTGGGCATGCGTGGAGGGCCAGGAGGGAAGGGGCAGCCCAGTGTGCAGAGAAGTGAGGGAGCTTGAATAGGTCAGACCCATGTGAGGCAGGGCCAGAAGGCCGGCAGCCCTGGAGTAGGTGTAAGAGGCACAGGTGGGGCTGCAGAGGAGCCCAGGAGGGCACCTGCTGGCCTGAGGAGTCTGTAATGCCCAGGCCCTGGAGTGGGGCTGGAGTGTGAAGGGCGGACTCTCCTGAGGAGGCCAGCTGTATGAAGTCTTCCATCCCTTGAGGTTGGAGACTTGTGCCAGGCCCAACAAGGTAAGGAGCCAGCAAGGCCAGCATAGATCAAGGGAGAGGTGGGAGGGCGCTGAGGCCCGCAACACGAGCCAAGCCCCTTTCCCGTAGGGGCCGCAGAAGCTCCCATGTCAGGAACCAAGTCCTGGCAAACCTCAGCCCTGTGTCTCTGCACTTACTTCAGGGCTGGCTCTTCTGACAGCCAGGCCACTGACCTGCTTCCCTCCCTCCCTCCCTCAGTGGCACCTCATCCTGGGGGGGGCCGTGTTGCTCACAGCCCTGCGTCCTGCTGCCCCAGGGCCTGCGCCAGCGCCAACGGAGGCCTAAGTGAGGACCCAGACCCCTGCCCACTTTGCCCTCTGCCCACACCCTCCTACTCCTGCCCCTGCCCTGGCCCTGCCTGTAGTGACTAGGGGACCCAGCCCCACCCTTCCACCGCCCCCATCTTGGACCAGCCTCACCACTTACATCCCTTCCTCTCTGTCTGTCTCTTTGTCCACCTGTCCCACCTGCAGTGGATGTACATCATTCCAGTTGTGCTGTTCCTCATGATGTCTGGAGCACCGGACGCCGGGGGCCAGGGCGGTGGTGGGGGTGGGGGCAGCGGCCGGTGAGAAGCACCTAGAGTCCTCCAGAGCATCCTGTCCTTGGCCAGTCCAAGAAGGAGTTCCTGTCCCTCTGTCTGCGTATTGCATGAACGTGGAAGGCTCTCCCCAGAAGCCTGCAGCCTTCTTGTAGGGCCTTCATTCTCTCTCCAAGCCTCTCTTTTGGCTGAGAGCCAGGGTGCACCTCCCTGTAGCCACCTCAGGCCCACCAGCTTTCCCGGGTGCTGTGCTACTATGTCCTGCCATGTGGCGCTGTGTCCCTTGCTAAACATGCAGTAGCCCCGCCCTACCCCACTCCACCATGCAGTTTGGGAACATGCCAGGTTCTCTCCAGCCTCTGTGCCTTTGTCCCCATCCCCCATGCACTCCTCACCGTCACACTTGGAGGCCTCCGCTGCTGGTGGCTGGGTCTGCCTGCCCAGTGTGTTGAAGCCTCCAGCCACTTTCCACGTGGCATGCTTTGCTCTCTGCCCCAGAACACCATGGTGACTTCCAGCACCGTCCTTCCTGTCTGAGCACAGCAGCAGGAGAGGATTGGGGGTCTCCTCGTTAGTCTGTCTCGTCATTTGTGTGCGTGTTCGGAGAGCCAGGCTTGAGCGGCTACTGCTGACTGTGCACTTGCACGTGTGTGGTCATGGGCTGTGTGGCCTCAGCTGTGTTGTGTGGCTATTGATTAAACTGTCCCCTGAACGGCCACCATTCAGCTCACTTCCTGCCTTTTGCCTGATTTATGTTTGAATGGCTTCCTTAGGAGCGGTATAGAGTAATGCCTGGGGCAGATTAAAGTTCCTGTGAGCAGTGACACCTTCCGAGTTCTTCCCTTCCCAGCACTTCCCTTCCCAGCACATCCGCACTTGCTGGCCCAGCAGCTGCACACGTTCATATTGTCTCCCTCATCCTCACATAAGGCTTGCACTGGGACCTGGCCCTCACTGGATGGGCTTGTGTGTTGGTACATGGGTATCAGTTAGAATCCCAGCATTCAGTAGGCTAAGGCTGCCTTAGCTACATAGTGACTTTAAGGCTAGCCTGGGCTACATAGCAAGACCCTGCATGAAGCTGTGGGTTCACTCCCAGCAGTGCATACGCCAGCTGTGCATGGTGGCACATACTCAGGAGAGTACTCAGACTGGAGCCAGGAGGATCACAAGTTCAACATCTTACTTGACTATTTAGCCAGTTTGAGGCCAGCCTGGGCTGCTTAACACTCTTCCCTCACAAAACAAATCACAAAACCAAGGCCATTCTCTGCACTTTGAACCTGCCCTGTGAGGTCTAACCTGGAGTTGGAGTTTCATTTGTGCTGTGACCATACACGACCTGACGGGAGCAGCTGATGGCAGGAAAGGCTGATTGGGCTTGTGGGTGCAGAGGGTTTTGCTCATCCTTGTGGGGTTGGTCTGCTAGGGCTGCTGCTTAGTTCATGCAAACCAGGTTGTGATACTGCTGCTACCAGGGTAGACAGGAAGCAGCGATCTGGGTCAGGCAGCACTTTTGCAGGCCCAGCCCTCAAGGGCTTCCCCCTCCAGCTGGGACCCACCTGGGAAGGTTCCATAGCCTCTCAGAACAGTGCTAGCTGGGACTCATACCATGGCACAGTGCTCCAGTTATGAAAGCCTCCTCCCCAACAGACCATTCTCGGGTGGGCTGGGAAAGGCTGCAGTGCCACCTGTCACAGTGCTGTTTCCTTCCTGGGCCTCCGTGCCCTCAGACCCCTGCATGCTGTAGTGTGACAAATGGCCTTGGTCCCAGGGCTTTGTCCAGTTCATGTCCTCTTGCTGCTGTGCATGGAATGGTGGCCTCGTATCTTGTTACCGACATGGTGACCAGGAGGATGGCAGCAACAGAGGCTTGCCCCCGTCTCCTGTGCTGACCTCTTTCCTGATTACTTCAGAGTACAGACTGACTTTTTTTTTTCTGGATTGTTTGCTATGCAAATCTTAACCCTTTGTCTAAATTCAGGTGCTGCTTTCTGGGCTGGGTATAGCTTGGTGGTTAGATGCTTGCCCAGCACGTCTAAGGAAGACTCTGTTCCATTTCCATTACTGTCAAACAGCTTAAGGGGTAAAGGAGCTACTGGAATGCACAGCCTGTCAGGGTGAGGGCAGTAAGGATGGAGCCTGTTCGCAGGTTGTCAGCGAAGTGAAGGCTGGAGTGTGGCGCAGAGTGCCTGCCCATTACCCACGAGGCCCTGAGTTCAAACCGCAAACGTTTAAGGTGAGATTCTGGCTCACCCCAGCCAGTTAAAGCAAGTACTGGGAAGGGTGTGTATGATGCTGAACACTCATGGTTTGTGGGGATGCAAACCATCTCAGCCACGGGCATGGCCCTGGAAGTTCTGGAAGTCAGTGCTCCCCAAAGGAACTCCCGCACGGCTGTGGAGCACGGAACTACCCTTGGTGTCCAGTGACTGCAAAGGGGGTGAGGAAAACAGACACAGTGGAGTTGTCTTCAGACATACAGAATGAAGCCATGTTTACGGGAAAATGGATACAACTGAGCCTGGCCGAGAAACACGGAAGCAGAGCTTCTCATTTGCAGTTCCTAAAAATTATAGAGGTGGTTGGGAGTGGAACTACGGAAGGACAGAGAAAACAGGACAGATGGGAGATGTGCTCTCTTACAGTGTCCTCGCGTTTGCTTCAGTGGAATGGCTCGGCAGCTAGCCGTGCCACTGACCTGATGGCCTGAGTCCAGTCCTGAGATCTGTGTGGTGGAAGTAGATTAATGGCTCTCAGGGTGTCTGTGACCTCCACAGCAAGGTGTGTGTGTGTGTGTGTGTGTGTGTGTGATGAATTTCAAAATGTGTGCATGTACCAGACTGACTGAGGAGCACCTGCGTGTACCAGATGACTGAGGAGGAGCACCTGCAGAGCCATCTTTATACTTTACAGGATGGAGCTGTGTCTGTAGCTGGTTGTTTTCAACCATTGGCTCCTGTATTCTCGCTGCTGAGTTCGTTAGGCTCCCTGGGGCTCCATCCCTCTAAACCCTCAGTTCTTGTGGGTCCCCAGAGAGGTCACTGTTCAGGGCGTCCAGGGATTTGGATGTAGTAGCTCCACACGAAGCTCCCTGATCTCCCCATCCCTGCTCTCCTGTCAGTGAAGACGAAGGGCAACAGCAGTCTGCAAGCTGGTCTTGCAAAGCCTGTAGCTCGTGTGTGACACATGACATGCTGGAGAAGGCTCCAGCCTCCTACCTATAGCTTATTTCATTCACAGTCATCCATGGATCTTTGGGTTTGCGCTTTTTTTTTTTTTTTTTTTTTTTTTTGGTAACCGTGCGTATCTCCAGATACGTATCTGCCAGGTGACGTGTAGGTGAGCTCTGGGCTTGCATGGGCTCATACGCATTTTCTCTTGTGCTTTGAGCCCATTGCTACTCTGCCTCAGCTACATTCCCACCAGTGGCACCAACAGCTTTGCTTCCCTGATAGCCCCTAGATCCTCCAGACTGCAGCCTCATCTGCCACCCAGCTCCCTGTGCGTCTGTCCCAGCACAGCGGCGTCTGGATTGTTCTAGTAATGCTGTCACTGGTCCTGCCTCAGGATGGCCCTGGTCTGCATCAACTCCCACCCCACCATTCCTGCCCCTCTAGGCTGCTCTAGAGGTGGCCTTGTGGCAAGACACCCATCTGGAGCTACATATATTCCTTCCTGGACCTTCAGTCCAGCCTTCACCCTGGCCTTTCCACCCACTGTCCATCCCATCCTGGGCTTCTAACACCAGAGCTGGCCCCATTGCTGCCCTTTCATGGCTTCTAGCATCCATAGGACAAACAGTCCGCTCCTGGCCTGGCATTTGGTGCCTATAATTAGTGCATCTGGCCATGCTTCTTAAACTCTGCAGCTCCATCCCTCTGCTACCTCCTGCCACCGTCCTTCCGTCCACTTATGGTCCCAGCTCAGCCCTTGATCCTCTCCTAGACCCTCTCCAACTTGTTGGCCTCAGGCATAAGATGAAGGTAGCTCAGGGGAACCATCCTCCTTTCCTTGCTCCATCCTTGGATGCCCTTCTCTGTTTCCTAGAAAGCTTCCCCTTTCTGGCTCCTAGTCTCAGGCTGGCTCTTAACCTGTCCTTGGCTTCTTTAATGTGTGTGATTCTGCTTCTCCATTGTAGCTCCTGGAATTTTGGAGGCTTCTTATCCTCCAGGGAAATATTCTGACCAAAGCAGGGGCCATTCTTGAACTTCTAGCTATTCCCCACAATCCTGGCTAGTTTTTATGTCAACTTGACACAAGCTGGAGTCATCTGAAAGGAAGAAACCTCAACTGATAAAATGCTTCCATAAGATTTAGCTGTAGGCCTTCTATTTTATTTTTATTATTTATTTATTTTTGAGACAGGGTTTCTGTGTGTATTCCTGGTTGTCCTGGAACGCACTCTGTAGAACAGTCTGGCCTTGGGCTCAGAGATCTGCCTTCCTCTGTTAAATCTGTACGCCACCACCAGCTGGCTGCATTTTCTTAGTTATTGATGGGGAAGGTTCAACTCATTGTGGGCTAGTGGTCCTATGTTCTGTAAGAAAGCAGGCTGAGCAAGCCATGTTGTGCACACTAGTAAGCAGCCCCCTCCATGACCTCTGCATCAGCTCAGCTCCTGCTTCCAGGTTCCTGCCCTTTCCTGAGTTCCTCCCAATGATGGGCTACAATGTGGAAGTGTAAATCAAATAAACCCTTTCCTCCCCAACTTGCTTTTGGCTGTGGTGATTCCTCACAGCAGCAGAAACCCTAGAAGTCACCCATCGTGGCTGCACCCGCCTTCCATTTAGCAAGGTGATGGGTTGTGCATAGACCTGCAGCAGGTTTGCAATCACATCCTGGTGTCCAATCTATCCCCTGGTACGCCTGGGTCTCCCATCCCCCTGGAAAGCAGTCACTCTCAGTGTGAGACTCCATATTCAGGATCTGGTTGAAGGGTGTTGTGGCACAGACTTGTAATTCTAGCACAGAAGCATGAGGATCAGGTTCAAGGTTACCCTTGACTACACAGGGAGTTAAAGGCCTACCTAAGCGGCATGAGACCCTGTCTCAGATAAGCAAACAAACACTTGCCGTGAATGTTTCTGTATTAGGAGTAAATGTTCATTTTAACAGAATTTTCCATATCCTTCCCTCCACAGCTTCCCTCACCCCAACTGTCCTTTATTGGGGACAAATTTCAATGCTTGATACAGCTGGGTTGCAGTTCCACTCTGTGCCAGCAGGTGGTGACCGTCCTTTTACACACGTGCACACACGATCTGTGCTGGGAAGTGTTGCTCCTTCGGTAGGTGAGTCTAAGAAGCCGCTGTCCTTGCAGCTGCTGGTCTTCAGTGGCCTGCAGGTGTTAGACCGATGTGTTCACAGGAAAATTGAAGTCAGCTGAGGCCTTCTTTGCTGATGCCTGAAGAGGGCAGATGGCCTGGCAGGGGGCAGAGACGTCTCATCAGCCTTCACCAACCTCAGACGAGTTTCAGTGCCCGTCCCTGGCCAACCCCATCCCATGTTCTGGCCCTGCCACTTACACGCTGTGTCTGTGGGCAGCTCTCTCTGCTCTCAGCTGATTCTTTGCTTCCTGCCTTCAGGGTCTGATTCCTCCAGGAAGTGTCCGGCATCCAGGGCAAACAGAAAAAGAAAGGAGTGTCACAAAGACCCTGCCCCACACCTGGACTCTGGCCTTTTGTGGGCACTGGTGGCCCACTTCCCACCCAGGACCTGGGGACCTCACAGCACCAGGGTAGGGGGCTGGGAACAGCTCACTTAGAGGCCCTGGGGGTTGAGAGCTGGGGAAGTGGGGGGAGAGTGCAGAGGAGAAAAGAAGGGAAAGAAGAGGAAGGAGTGCAGTCAAAGGACACAGGAAGGAGGAGGAAAAGTGAATAGGGCTGGGCACAGGTCTGTTGGCAGAGTGCTTGCTGGGCAGCAGGGAGACCCGAGCTTGAGTCCCAGCACACACACAGCAACCTGACCTGTGTCTTTAGCCCTGGTGCTGGGGAGTTAGAGACCAGCGGTCTCCCGGGGTCTGCTGGCTGGCTAGCCTCAGCAAAGCAGCAAGTTCTAAGTTCAATGAGTGACGTCTCAAAAACTAAGGTGAAAAACCTGGTGATGATGTCACACACATTTAATCTCAGCAGTTCGGAGGCAGAGGCAGGGGGATCTCTGAGTTCAAGGCCAGCCTTGTCTACAGAGTGAGTTCCAGGACAGTCAGGCTACACAGAAAAACCTGTCTCAAAGAATGAACAAACCACCACCACCAAAAAAAGCCAAAAACACCTATAAATAAATAAAATTAAGGTGGAGAACAATTGGAGACACCAGATGTTGCCTTCTTAGCTCCACACACATGTTATCACAGTACACCATAAACACACATGCACATACAAACTAAAAAATATTTAAATGGGGCAACCTAAAGTTGATCTCCGTCTTACACATCGCACACATACACACAGGGATAGGGAGAGTGCAAGAAAGAAAACCAGGAGGACCCCAGGAATGTGAGGGGCAGAGTAGAGTACCCCAACAGACACCAGAGGGGTGAGCCTTTGGAGAGAAGCAATCAGTACCATGAAACAGGATAGATGGGGAGAGTGGGAGACACTGGAAAGCAAAGACAAGAAAGGGAGGGGTGCCAAGGGAGATGTGCACCTTCTCATATAAGTGAGGAGGGAAGAGATGCAGTCACAGTGTTGTTGGGAGAACCTGAGCTGTAGAGAAAACTGAGGAGGAGAGAGCGGTGCTGATAGGGAGCAGAGCAAAGGCAGATTCCAGAAAGAACAGTGAGGGCGAGGATGGAGAGAGAGCAGGGATTGGGAAGCCTAGGGACGGGGAGGAGGTGGGAGGAGAGAAAAGAGTGAGGAAGACAAGGCAGGCAGAGGAGGTGAGGGGGAAGCTGGGGGTACCAAACACCCTGATCACATTCCTTATGGGACCCAGAGCCAGATGGGACTGTGTGGAGGGATGCATCAGGACATCAAGCCTGAATATCCTGTCCCCACGTCTTTTGAGACTGGGATTGGTCTAGGGACCCAGCACAGGTGAGAGGGAAGGGTCCAGAGGGAGAGTCAGGACAAGGCAGGGAGGTGCTGTGAAACGGGAATATTATGGTGGAAAAATGAGCAGGGGGGTGGTGGAGCATGCTTTTAGTCCCAGCACTCAGGAGGCAGAGGCAGGCAGGGTTCTGAGTTTGAAGCCAGCTTGGTCTGCAGAATGAGTTCCAGGACAGAGCTGTTACACGGAGAAACCACGTCTCAAAAACCTGAAAAGGGGGTAGGGGAGTGACATTAGAGTGTGTGTAAGGTGCAGAGCAAAGGGAGACAGAGGGATAAAGAAGAGTGTGCAGGTGCCATAGGAAGTGAGAGGGAAGGGAAGAAGGGAAGAGTGAAGCAGGGGACTAGGAGGTGATGGTGGAGGACAAGGTTGTAGAGTGGCATGAGGTGGAGGGGGATGAGGAGGAGGGGGGAGGACAAGGTGGAAGAAGAGACTGTAGAAGAGGAGAAGAAGAAAGGAAGACAAAAGGAGACATAGGAGGAGGGGACAAGGAACAAGACAGAGTGGGTGCAAACAAGGAGAGGTGGGAAGGAGGAGGACTCCAGTGAAGAACCAGACAGATGAGGGAGAAGAAGGAAGTATGGCAGGAAGTGGGGGAGAAGAGATGAAAGAAGAAAACAGGAACTTGGATGGGTGGTGAAAGGTCGGTGAGGAAGCAGGACAGGAGAAGGAGCAAGTGGCACAGGACAGCATGGAAGGAAGCTAATAGGAAATAGGAGGCATTAGAAACAAAAGAACAGGGAGGAAGAGAGGGAAGGAAGGAAAGAGGGAAAGGCAGAATGAAGAAGAGGATCAAGTGTGAGAGGTGGAGGAAGGAGCCAATAGGAGGGAGGACTAGAGTCACAAAAGAAGATGGAGGAGGAGGATAGTATGGAGGAAGGCTGGGAATGAGGACAGGAGAACGGAAATGACAAGGCTAAGGAGGAAAAGGTTGGGTGTGAGCAGGAAGGAGGAAGAGAAGGAAACAGGAAATGGAGGAGGGTGCCATAGAAGGAGGAGTAGAGAAGGGAGGGAGGAAGGGAAAGGAATAGAGAAGATGAAGGAAGGGAAGGAAGAAGAGAAGAGGATGCAGGAGCTGGAGGAGAGGGAGGAGGGGACAGGAAGGAGGGGAAGATGGGAGGAAGAATGACAGAAGAGGGAAAGGAGGAAGAGAAGTGGACATGAGATTGAGGAGAGAAAGAAGATAGTCAAAGGGGTAGCAGAGGTTGAGGGCAAATGAAAAGGAATAGATGAGATGGAGGAAGGAAGAGAGGATGGAGAAGGTAAAGGGGGAAGCAGAAAAGGAGAGGAAAAATGGAACAAAGGAAGAGGAGGGGATAGAAGAGATGGAGGAGGTAGAGAAGGTAGACAGGAGGACAGAGCAGCTGGAGGAGGGAAACAAGGAATAGTTGAGACAAAGGAAGTGAAAAGGGATGGAGAAGATAAAGGTGGAGCAGAAGAGGGGCTATAGAGGTGATATGGTAGGTGAAGGGATAGAGGAATGGAGGGGGAAATAGGAAGACGAGAGAATAGAGCAGATAGAGGAGGGGTTGGATGAAGAGTAGGGGGTAGAGTAGGTGGAAGCGGGGAGGAACAAAAGGAAGGGAGAAAGGAGGGGAAGGAGGAAGAGGAAATGTAAGAGAAGGGGATAGAAGAGGGTGAATAGATGGAAGTGGGAAAGAAAGAAGGGGATGGAGATGAAAGAAGGGGAGGGGGAAGTGAGAATAGAGGAGAGGGAGGAAGAAGGGGATTGAGTAGATAGAAGAAGGGGAAGAAAAATAGGAGTGAATAGAGATGCAGTCGAAATAATCAGGAGAAACAGAAGCATGAACAATAGGAGATGCCAGAGAGAAGGAAGAGCAGCAGGAGATACTGAACGAGACACTGTAAAGGGAGCCGGAGGATGAGGGAGGAAAAAGGAGGAGGTAGAGGATGTGGGAAGACCATAGGGATATACATACAGGAATAAAAGAAAGGGCAAAAGAGGGTATTAGAAGTAGAGAGGGAGGGACAGAAAGGAGGAATTGAGGGTGAAGAGAAGGAAGAAGAGGGAAGGGGAAATACTAAGAGATGACACAGGTGAGGTGTGCAGGACTAGAGAAGATAGAAGGGGGGTGCTGAGGAGACAGACTGGAAAGAGAAGAGAGGCAAGAGCACAAGGGCAATAAAAAGTAGGAGAGGGGAGGACAAGGAGGAGAGGGAGTGGAAGGATAGGAGTAAGGAAGAGGAGGAAGAGCATCAGAAAACAGGAAAGATGAGAAAGTGATGAATGTAGAAGGAAGAACAAGAGAAACAAAATGGCAAGGAAGAATTGGAGCTTGCAGAAGTTGAGGGCAAGGAAGAAGAGAGAGAAATAGAAATAGGATGGGGAAGGGGTTGTAGAGAAAGAAGGATTAGGAATAGGGGAATGAGCGAGAAAGGAGATGGGAGTTAAGGAGGAAAGGGGAAGAGGAATTATTTGGAAGTGGTGAGTTACTAGGATGAGAAAGACTAGAATAGGAAGTGAGAAGATTAACAAAGATTAAATATAGAAGAGAAACAGGAGAGAAAGGAGATAGAGCAAGAGTGTGAGATGGGGGAAGGGAAGGGGAGGAGAAACAGGAGAAGGGAGGTGAGGTAGATCACACGGAGGGGGATGACTGGAAAGAAGAGCTGAGGAAGGAGGAAGAGGAGGACTTTAGGAAATATAGATGGTGAGAAGGAAAGGAAACTGAAGAGGCAGAGGAAAGAAAGGAAGAGGAATGAGAGGATGTAACAAGCAGGAAAAGGAGAGAGTGAGGGAGGACAGTATGAGGAGAAGGAAGAGGAAGAATGCGAGAGGAAAACTAGGGGAGCAGTAAGGGAAGGTGGAGGTGGTAGGGCAGAAAGTGGAAGAGGAATGGGGAGACGATGGAGGAAGAAGGGTAGAAAAAGGGGAAGTGGAGGAGAATTCATAAAAGGAGAAGAAAGCTGAAGAAGAAGGATGGGAGAAGGATGAATGGTAAGTGAAAAGGGTAGAAGGAGAAAGAGGAAGCAAAGAAGAGAAATAGGGAAGAGAGAAGACAAGATGAAGAGAGGGAAGAAGTGGAGCAAGAGAAAAGTGAAATGGAAAATAAGGGAGAAGAGAAAATGAAGAGAAATATGAAGGTGAATGGCAGATGTGAAGGAGGTGAAAGATGGAAGAGGAGGAGTAGGTGGATGTATAGATGGATGAGGAGGAAAAGGAGTAGAAAATAGATGAGAGGGAAGAGAAAATGAGAGGAAAGGAACAGAGGAAGTAAGAAGATA